AACTACAAACTACACTGTGAAAGAACTTTAAACTACACTGTGAAAGAACTACAAACTACACCCTTAAAGAACTACAAACTACATCCTTAAAGAACTACAAACTACACCCTTAAAGAACTACAAAATACACTCTGAAGAACTGCAAAGACATCATTGAAGAACTATTAAGTACGTCCTTAAATAACTATTAAGTACACCCTTAAAGAAATACAAACTACATCCTTAAACAATGAATTAATTTTTTGCTGTGTCTCTGAGGTTACTACTTCCACCACCACCACAGCACAATGGTCTTCTCCCAGACTCCTGGCTATTGTATTCAAAGTATATTTAGAAACAATATAGTTTTGTGTTGCTTTATTATTTAAAGTTCTTGATCATATATGTATTCAGTTGTGGTTGTTCTGAACTTTCCCTAAGGCATTCAATAATTTAACTTTAATAGTGATGTTATAGATGATGTGCTTTGATTCATTCTTTCCTTCAGAGAAACCCAGAGAGTTTCTTATAGAGCAGCTGGAACAGCTGAAGATTTCTCAACAGAGCGGTGGACAAGGGCCCAATCTGTTCAACAACTCCAACCTGGACGCAGTCCTCGGGATCCTGGACCCCACTGATCAAAAACACATCACTTTTGCACAATACAAGCACGGTGAGCAAAAGATGAGGGCGCTTTTATATATCTTCCTGGGTTTAGGGACTGGCACTGCAAAATACATGATTGTCATTCAAAGTGTCTTCATAATCCTCAAGTCACCAGGAAAACCCAGAGAAATATTTTCATGCATTAATTTTTCACGTGTGTATTCTGTTTATCTTTATCAGAACCTTTAATTGTACAATAATTATATGTAGTAGAATAATTATTCATTCATGTAGAGGTGTTTTTCATCCAAGTATCACTTCATAATTAACTGTTCTTTATTCTCCACAGCTCTGACCACACTGGGCATAAAGTACTTTGATGAATGTCCTGAAGGTGCAAATGAAGACAGAATATCCTATGAGACGTTTAAAACAGAAGCGTAAGGGCAGTTTCTAAACTATAAACATGACAAAACAATATTGACAAGCACTTTCAAATACGCCATCTTATGAAGGAACGTTTTATTTTGTTTTTTTAACAGGACTCAAGGCCTGCAGAGAAGCTCAGCAACATATGAACAGCCATGAATTTTGATGCTTTTTTTTGCCCACTCAGTTGATATTTATCATAAATATCATTATTTTTTGTACTAAATAAAGTTTCATACAGTAGTATATATTTAATTGCACATTCATTCATACTAGTAACCTCCCACATGAGGATGTTTGATAACAGATAACTACTGAATACAATTCACAAGTTCTACATCTATTCTAAGTAAAGGGATTTACAGTTCACATGATATGCACTGTCCTGATGCATTTCACAATGACATTTGTGGTGGTGACTGTGATAAGGGGAGTCAAAGAGGGAGGTGCAGAAGATTGTGCAGTTCCACAGAAGTCAAACTGAAATGCAGAAGTCAGGCATTACAAGAAGTTTTCATTGAGAATTGATGCAATCAGGGGCCATGTTAAAGAACTTAGATACACAATTTTAAAATGTCTCACATAAACAGCACTTATTAAGTCAGAGGGGTTTATCTGTGCATATGCCTGTCAGTGACTTACTAAAATAATTATTTCCAATGCACAGTCAACTTCAGGAAACATTACTTCAAGCAGCATCACAAGAAAGTTCATGCGTAGGCCCTGATCCAGATGTCTTGTGGTGATTTCCTGGGACTGCAGGAGGTAAGGTTTTCAAAACCAGCCTTCACATAAATGTATTTGAAACAAATATTTCGCCAAAGGTCCCACAGAGAGTACTGTTGTTCTTTATTATTCAATAATTAGTAGAATATAAGCATCAGACCTTAGTCAAAGTCCTCTGATGATTGCAGATTGAGAAAATTATGTTTCTCTGGTTGATAACTTTACTCCCTTGGCCTTGTACTAGATCCTTTATGGAACCCCAGTGCCTTTCTAGGACTGTCAGCTCCTTTTCTTCAGGTTGAAACTTTTTCTCCACCCAGGGCAGTGTATAGCTCCAGAAGGTCATTTCTATTCCTCCTCCTTCATTGTTCACTTTTACCAAGGCATCATTGTCCTCCCAGCTGACTTCTTCCCTAGCCTTGGGCTAAGGCTTCTCGGTTCCACTTACATTGCACTCTAGTGGTCACATAGAAATATGGTCAAAATCCCTTTCACATTTCATGATGGAGGGATTGGTCAGGGCTAACAGGAGCAGGTGCAGCACACTGGAGTGTGGTGGAAGTGGACAAGGCAGGAGGCGTCTGTTCAGCAGAACTGAAATCTGACAATCCGAACATTGCATGAGTTAAATAACATGGATGCAAGCTGCCGTCAAACCCCCAAAGAAGAAGATCTCTCTTTTTGTAAAACTGAAAATATTAACATACAAAAGCAAACTGCATCATCCACTCAAAAAAATAGCACTACTATGTAGTAGCCTACATAGTAGTTGCCATAGAGAACAAGACAATGTGACTGTCTTCTGATGATCAATAATAATTATTGAGTAACAGATATGAAGACATGTTTAGAACTGATATGTATAAAATAAAACAGCTTCAATATAAATAAATAAAGATAATAGATAGATTCATAAATATATATAATTAACCCTAAACACCTTATTCAGTTGTCTATATAAACTAACTTAAAGACGCTGTAAAGCTACTTAAATTAATTAATTTTGTAAAAAAGTAACGACGATGATTTTAAGAATCATTCTTGTGATCTCTTTTGTGAATGAAAAAACGTTGCCAAACACAGAACCGCATTCCAGCAGAGTGAATCATTTTAGTTTTGCTTCATCAAACCAAGTGTTATATTATCTCACTATCTCACGTCTAATCCACATCTCTCCTCTTTTTTTCTCAACCCTTCTCACGCACGTGCTCATTTCGCAGCGTCGCCGTGTTGAACGCTCACCAGCGGAGGGCGTGGCCAAGAAAGTGACATGGCCGCCTCCTCTTTCGGAGCTTCTTCTCCTCTCCCCGCTTCCATGTAGGTGAAAGTAGTTTGTCTCGATCCACGCTGAGAAGTTTCGTCCACATTTACCCGGACCTTGTCCCGCGGAGCTCGGCATGGGCACCGTCCACGCACGGGTAAGAGAGCGATCGGCCGGCTGTGACATTGACCTCTGAGTGCTGAGTTATCCGATGACTGTGCGGACAGAAAGGCCCACACTGTTCATCCAGCTCTGTGACTCACTCACGGTTCTCTGCTCAGCTCGCACTGAAAATACTTTGTGTGCTGTGTATTTTACACTCGTCTTTAACAGTAATGTGACATGCTAGTGCTGCCTCCATTCACTGCAGGGCTGCTGGGGTGGGCAGTCTGGTATGAGCACCATAACACACTAAAAGAACCATAAGTACTCTATAGAAATAATACAACTACCTGTCATACAGGGTTTAAAAACAACATTGCTTATCTTCTCCATGTATTGATGCATTGAAATGTGAGTATTGTGCTGCAGCTGTTAAAGGTTGGGGTAATTCTAACTTGTTTATAAGTGTCCATGGAGCTTCTGCTGTGATAATGCAATTATTCATCAGTTGATTTTAGATGAATATCAGTCACATTTTGTATTGATCCGAGTCTAAATATTAACTGAGGCTGTCGAACAAATGTAGTTGTGTAAAAAATGCAATGTCTCCAGCTGGATTAACCTTGGATGCAGTTGAAGTATGAAGCAGCAGTAAATGGAAAGAAACTATTTGAAATATTGATCTTATAGGTTATCCAGGTCAGAAATATCTCTACAATATAGAGCTAAAGACATTAGTAGAATTCTCAGTTGACACAAAAGCAGAACTATTTGTTATGGTTGTCTTTCATTCTCTAATACCAGGCCTGTCAGGTATTGTTGCTTTTCTCTTTTTTATAACATAGTATAACTGATTATAGAGGAGTTTTGGGATGCCATCTTTGCCTTGGACATGACTAGATTTGACTGATGGAACTATTTTATTATATTTTGTGTTGCAGAGCCTGGACCCTCTGCCCATGAAAGGGCCAGAGTTTGGGGTTCAAGCAGACGACATCGAGGCTGCAGATATTGAACAGGAGCCCAAACAAGAAGTTCTTGAAAACAAGGATGTACGAGTTGTTTTGTACCAGACAGTAATTACACAACTCCCTCACTAGGACTTTGATTTGGAGGTTTATATTGTCCCTTTCACTGTTCGTCCCTCTTGTTTTTCAGGTTGTGGTTCAACAAGTACACATAGATGGACTCGGAAGAACCAAGGAGGACCTGTTGACTTATGAAATCGCAGAAGTTTTCAGGGCAAAGAACTTGATTGATGTAGGTGCAGGTGCAGACGGCAGTGCTCAGTAATGGTTGTTTGTGAATAGCAGTAAATGGAATAAACAAAATGTTCACTTTGTCGTCCAGGTGATGCGAAAGTCTCACGAAGCCCGACAGAAACTTCTGCGTCTTGGTATCTTCAGAAAAGTCGAAGTGGTCATTGACACATCACGAGGTACTGTCAGTCACGGCACACTCTTATGGTTATGCATAGGTACTTTCCAAATAAATGTACAAGTTGTTATCATTAATCTCCTGTGTTGGACCATAATAATTATCTGTGACATGCATCCCCACATGAGATCTCTGTCCCATTGTTTTAAACTAACCCTGAATTAGATTTTATATTGTCTCTACTTTCTCTTGCGTTTAGGTGAGGACGCTCTTCCAAATGGCCTCGACGTGACCTTCGAGGTCACTGAGCTGAGACGAATGACGGGCAGCTACAACACTATGGTCGGAAACAATGAAGGCAGCATGGTGAGTGCTACAGTGCATGATGTCAGCATCTACTTTCTGAAAGGCCACACAGTTCTGGATCCAATCATGGTGCTACGTTGGCCTTTTTAAAGGTCAGTTGAAAGGTTTTTGTTTTTACCTTGACACAAATCTCCCCCATTGTAATTACAGGTACTGGGCCTGAAGTTACCTAATGTATTTGGTCGTGCAGAGAAACTGACCTTCCAGTTCTCCTATGGCACCAAAGAGACGTCCTACGGCCTGTCCTTCTTCAAACCTCAACCAGGACACTTTGAACGCAAGTAAGATATGAACAGCACAAAAAATATATCTGTTTATAGGTCTTATATGAAAGTGTGTCTATTACATCTGTGGGAAGGGTTATTCTTCTGCTAAGGCTGAGGTTGGTCATGAGGCACATGTGGCGACGCCCCTGCTGCTTTAGCTCTAGATGAGGGTCCTTCCGTTTGGAGTCTGAGCAGCTAATGCAGTAACTATAGATGGATTTAGTTTATAATCAAGGTATTGAACTGTCATTTCATTTTTCATTTTCAGTATCTCAATCAACATGTACAAAGTAACTGGTCAGTTTCCATGGAGTTCACTGAGGGAGACGGATCGAGGCATCTCTGCAGAAATGAGCGTAAATACTTGTTTCTATTTTTTTCCCACGTTAAAAATGTCTGTATTTTTTTCTCTCAGGCTTTCATCAAGCCATTATTATCTAAGCTCATTTACAATGAACGTGTTACTTATTTCTCACACACAGTTCCCCTTGTGGAAGACCAGCCAGACACTCAAGTGGGAGGGAGTTTGGAGAGAGCTGGGCTGTCTGGCTCGCACTGCCTCGTTTGCTATTCGGGAGGAGAGTGGCCATTCCCTCAAATCCTCACTCTCGGTATTTTTAAATTGTTGGATTTCAAATGTTTACGGAGTTTCATGATGTCCTCTTTCAGAAAAAAACAAAAAAACCTCGGCTGAGTTTTGGATTCGTTTTCTGCAACAATTTCCAATTCTAATTTGTGGAGAGGATTTGACTTATGTTTAATATTGGCAAACAACAGAATATCCAGCAAGACACTGTACTAATGGATTGGTATTTTGTCATTACTTATTTGTCATTTTGTTTTTCAGCATGCTATGGTCATTGACACCAGAAATTCCTCCATCCTTCCCAGGAAAGGTGGCCTGTTAAAGATCCATCAGGTTTGTTGTTTAACACAAGTCATACATCTTTTATGTGACATGAAAACAATATTATGTTAATGTTGTGGTTGTGTAGGAACTTGCTGGTTACACTGGGGGAGATGCTAGTTTCCTGAAGGAGGACTTTGAGATCCAGCTCAACAAAACACTTTTCTGGGACTCGGTGAGATTCTGCCTTTTACATTTCTGCACTTTGGCAAATGATCTCATTTTTACCGGCCCCGAG